CTTCTCTGAAGTCTCTCAGCCCCACTCAACTCACAGAGTGTTTGTTGTGGGGGAGGAAGGGAAAGGAGAATGTTAGCCACTTTGAGTCTCCTTAGGGTAGTGATAAAGCGGGATATCAAATCCAAACTCTTCTTCTTCAACTTCCAGAGTGCTTTAATGATCAATCCCTCTTCCCAGGAAACTCTGGGAGCAGCAGCTCTGTGAGGCCTCCTGCAACTCTCAGCCCCCTTCACAAACTACAGTTCCCAGGATTCTTTGAGGGGGGAGCCATGACTGTTAAAGTGTTTTAATAGTGCTTTTAAATGTGTTGTGCAAATGGGGCACTAGAAACTGCCCTTCCCTATGATAATACGGTGCCTGTTTGTTCAAGGACAATATGATAAGGAACCATGCAGAGAGTCAGCTGAGACTTGCTGTGGCCAGGGACTGTCAATTAAATGCTGCTTAAACTTATTTTGCACTCATACACCGGCACTAGAGTATACCAGATACAAGCACCGCAGCAAGCCTGAAGGGCACATTTGTGTCTCAGGTGGCGCTTTCTCTTTGAAAATACTCCCTAATGGTAATGGAATATGAAGAAATAGCTAGATTAACGGGGGAAATTCGACAACAGGGCAATGAAACATTTCAAAAAGAATGGGAAAAATTTATGTCATACATAGGAAGGATAAGGTGAAAGAGTGAAACCAGTAGAACTGAAATAAGCCTCCTAATGTGAAATACAAAGAAAATTTCTGGATAAAGAAAATAACAAAAAGTAAAATGTACAATGTGATCAATGTAACCAATGGTAGTTGTAAATGAATATAGACAGACAATAAGAACTGTTTATAAAGGAGGATTTATTTGACTATAGACACTACAAATACGAAAGGAGACCAATAATATACAAAACGGATGAAGACAATGCGAAAAATTTAGATGTGATATAAAAGGCCAGAAGAGGGAAGGAGGGAAGTCGGATCTGGGGAGCAGGTGTAAATGTGAAATGTAATACAATGTGTGTATGTGGAGTGTGCAAATGAAAACCAATAAAGAATATTATGGGGTGGGGGAATACTCCCTAATAGGAGTCAGAAAAAGACTGGGTCACCAGTTGGGAGCACTCTGATTCGGCAAGGCATGAATAGAAGAGTTTTTGAAAAGGTCTAGATAGGTTTGTGTACACCTTTCAGTGGACATTAGCTGTGATACATAGCAAAATGGAACCTCCGTATTCAGTGGTAATCTATCTGTGAAGTACCAGTGCTCAGAAGAAAGAGGCACATGGCTGGCTGCATACAGAATGCTGGGCGAGATCGATGCACCACTGATCTGATCTAGCAAGTCAGTATTTATTATGGAGACACATTATGCTCCGTGTAATGTGTGTATATTTTGTACTTTGTACTTAAGTACAGAGCGCCTTGTAAGAAAAGGCAATTAAATTCAGGCTGTAAAAAAGAAATTCAGGGGGGGGAAACAACCCATACCCCACCTCCTCCCCGCCGGAAGGAATGTGTGTGTACATTTGTACAAACTCCTGAAATAACTTGGAGAACAAGACTGGATTGGATGAGCTCTCTAGCATTCATTCATTCATTCATTCATTCATTCATTCATTCATCCCAGAAGCCTGCTGCGTCTTAATATTCAATTACCTGCTTCCCCTACTCCCTTGCTCAGTATTGCTCCCATTAATGATCTCCCAAGGGCCCGTCCATCAGAGAGAACCGAGGACTTATTAAGACTGTAATTCTCAGAACCTGCTGTTTTCTGACAGAGCTGTAGATCCCTGGCCCATAACTCAACTACTTGGTTCGTGGAGCGTTGCTCCAAGCCGTATACTGGAGGGGTGACAATCTTCTGGAAGTTGTCCAAGGGAAGGAGAATCAGCCACTGTGGGCACAAGCTTATTATGCCCAGGGAATCTGTGGCTGTAGCCCTCCCTCTTGTGAAGCCATGCACCCAAAGAATCATAGAATTGGAGAGTTGGAAGGGACCCCAAAGGCCATCTAGTCCAACCCGCAGTAATGCAGGAATCTCAATTAAAGCATCCATGACAGGTGGCCATCCCACCTACCTTAGAAACCTCCAAGGAAGGAGAGCTTGCAATCTTCCAAGGGAAGAACATTTAGAGGTCTCTCTCTGCAATGTTCAGGACGCGGGTGGCGTTGTGGGTTAAACCACAGAGCCTGGGACTTGCCGATCAGAAGGTCGGTGGTTTGAATCCCCGCGATGGGGTGAGCTCCCGTTGCTCGGTCCCAGCTCCTGCCAACCTAGCAGTTCGAAAGCACATCAAAGTGCAAGTAGATAAATAGGTACCACTCCGGTGGGAAGGTAAATGGTGTTTATGTGCGCTGCTCTGGTTCACCAGAAGCAGCTTAGTCATGCTGGCCACATAACCCGGAAGCTGTACGCCGGCTCCCTTGGCCAATAAAGCGAGATGAGCGCCGCAACCCCAGAGTCGGCCACAACTGGACCTAATGGTCAGGGGGCCCTTTACCTTTACCTCTGCAATGTTCAGGTAGGTGATGGGTATTTTTAGAACAAGGGGTGGGGAGCCTTTGGCTGCCCACATGTTGATGGACTACAGTTCCCATGATCACTGACCATGGGCCATACTGGCAGGGGCTGATGGGAGTTGGAGTCCAACAGTATTTGGTCACCCGTTGCATACTCCCGTTTGGGGTCATTCACAGGCTAGGGGAGATAGGGGCACAGGGAGAGGCAAAACCTTTGCCTGGTGCTTGCAAAACAGCAATTATTATTCTTATGCTTTGAAAATTGTTTGACGTGTTTCAAAACTTATCTTTCCCAGGGACCAAGAGTCTTATCCCAGCACAGCAGGGAGTAAACTCTCTTTGGGCTGGTGTACCAGACTAGGACAAATGAAGGCCTTTTGCCCTTGAGAATGAACATTTTCAAAATGAGTTGGGCAATCTTCAAATAAAAATTAATTGCTATTTTCAAGCGCTAGGCTCAGGCTTTGACTCTTCCTTTGTTTTGCAGGGAGAGTTGGGTAAGGGAACTCATAGAATTAGTAAAAATAATATCTTTATCAGGACCAAGCAATGTTCACAATGCAGTATCTGACCTTTTGAGTTGCATAGAGTTCCTTCTCAGGCTGGAAAGTCGATAAAATTTAACTTGAAACCTCACAAACTTGCATTTTGAACGCGGCCTGGTCCTAATCATTTTACTGCCTGTGTGAATTTTGTTCTTATGAGCCTATGCTGTTATTTGATTCTGATCTTCTTCAGGGAACTTTTCCTCCAAATTTCTCTTAGGCATTGAATTAGACTGCTGACTGATTCAGGCAGGCATGCTTTATAGGTTGAGACCCTATTCTTATTTGAGATTGTAGTTACCCAAAGGTGGGTGGGTGGGCAAGGAAAGTCACTTTCCTTTCCTGCATAGATGGAGATGCTGAGATAAGCTTTCTCAATTCATATGCCCTTCAGCAAACTAGTGTTGCCAACTGACAAGAATCTTCTCCTGGTCTGCTCTTGGGCCTTGTAACACAGTGCAATGTGCAGAAATGAGAAAGTTTCACAGCACAGAGATGAGCATGACTACATTGTTGTTGTTGTTTAGTCGTCTTAGTCATGTCCGGCTCTCTGTGAACCAGAGCATGCCTTGGAAACTCTCACTTTCTTCTCAAAGCTTCTCCTTTTTTATGTCCATGGAGTTTTCTTGGCAATGACCACATTATCACCTATTAATGTTTGCACAAGCTTCTGTTTAAAGGTTCAGCTAGAGTGGCTGGTGGGAAAGTTAGTGAGCCTAGAAAGAGCTTGTAGGTCATCTCATTCAAATTGTACCCTAATGCAAGGTCTGTGGCTGGCTGTGTACTCTTTGCGGTTTATAACAAATTTAAAATTCGGTGCTAAAGCAATACCAATTTTGTGACCTGAAATACCAGATTCTGTGACCTGAATAAATTCTACAAATGCAATTCGCAAATGCATGCTTTGCATAATTTATGCTGTTCTCACTCGCCTTCGAAAGAGATGCGGAGCAATGCAGCGCTCTCCCAAGTACCGGAAACCCTGCCTGGTCCTCTTCCAGTTTCTACGATTTAACCAGGCTTCGCTCACATGGTTTCAAGCTTGTTTGAGGAAGAAGGAGCTCGGTGCTATGCTCAGTAAAATTCCATGCTTATGCAACCTTTATGCAAGACGTAAAATAAGGACCATGTGGGAGGGGTGCCACGATGGAGGGACAAATCGGTCAGTTTCAGTTTCAGTTTCTCAGTTTCCCAGGCTTTAAGCTCAGTTCTACAAATTTCTTCATCTTTGAGAAATTTGTTTTATGTAAAATAAAAGAAGCAGAAGAATCCTCATGAAAACCCACCAGCATTTTTGTGCCTTGTCTCCAATATTCACAATTTTGTACGCATTTTTGTCTTATAGACATATTTTGGTGAGAAATTTCTCTGGATGTAATGCATTTTTAATGTTATTTGCACCGGTACATGTATATTTTATGTGCTCTTCTCCCTAATATACAGCATTCACGTTATGTGGTTGAAGAACTGCATTGCAAAATTCAGTGATGTGCGAACTCTGAAGGAGTGATGCAATTCTGTTTGCAAATCAGCTCTACTTTCCTGGATTTCTTTGTGTCAAACTGCTGCTAAACATATAAGAGGCAGCTCAGTGTTTGTGTGTTGGGGGGGTGAGAAACTTGGCATCCCTACCAGGATTACACACACACACAAACGTTGCCACTCTCCATTATCACAGCCTAATCATTGTATAACTTGCTAAAAGCAGCATCAAGAATATGTCCCAAGATAATCAACAGCCAGCAAACAGGAAAAAGCTAACTCTAACCTCCTTCCTTTCCCCTCTGAGTTGCCAGCCAATCCCTCCACAACCCACACGCAGTATCGTCCTAGGAAGGTGTGCAGCTCCATGCGCTGCAGGAGGTAAGGGGGTTAGCCATGCGCATGTGCGACGGGGCAAGGTCAGGCAAGACCCCAAGAACTTCACTAACTAGCGTCTCCCTTCCAGCTACGGTGATATGGTCCCGAGCACCATTGCAGGGAAGATCTTCGGTTCCATCTGCTCTCTGAGTGGGGTGCTGGTCATCGCCCTCCCTGTACCTGTCATCGTCTCCAACTTCAGCCGCATCTACCACCAGAACCAGCGGGCAGATAAGCGGCGAGCTCAACAGGTAGCTGTGCGGCCAGGCGGAAGAGAGAAGGCGGAAGGGCGATGGGAGGAGGGTGGGAGGGAGGGAGGGGAGGGCCGCACCTGCCTCTCATTCCATACACAGTCCTCCATCTCTCCCCCTTGCAGAAGGTTCGCCTGGCCCGGATCCGTCTCGCCAAGAGCGGCACCACCAACGCTTTCCTTCAGTACAAGCAGAACGGGGGCCTCGAGGTATGGACCATGCACTTGCACGCTCAACAGTGGTTTTCTCAGCTGCTCAGGGCTTTTCTTGGAAAGGAAAAGCGGGACGTACAAATAGAGGTGGCTCCATCAGGTGGCTCCATTAGGCATTGGCCTACCAACCGGAAGTCTGCCCTCAGCCAACCCCCACCTGCTTTCTTGCTTACATCAAGACTGCGTTGGCCTCCTCCTCAGTCTTAGTTGCCCTTAGAGAGCTCAGCAGAGAGATGGGTGGGGGCAGAGCTAGAATTGGTTGGCCACAGGCTCTGCCTACAAGTCCTAGCCGAGTCCTAGCCACAATGCCCTAGTTTTCTCTGTGCAGGGAAAATTCTTTTAAATGCAAAAACAGTCAAACTTGCATCACCCAGCTAAAGCCCGAAGTACTTGCGTCCCAAGTGATTTTTCTGAATGTGCTGATTGGCTCTAATGTGGGCATGTATGCACATGCGCCTATACCCAAAGTGTGCCCCAATGCATTGGCACTTGTCACCTATGAGAGCCAGTGTGGTGGAGTGGTTAAGAGCAGTGGACTCGTAATCTGGTGAACCGGGTTTGCTTCCCCGCTCCTCCACGTGCAGCTGCTGGGTGACCTTGGGCTGGTCACACTTCTCTGAAGTCTCTCAGTCTCACTGACCTCACAGAGTGTTTGTTGTGGGGGAGGAAGGGAAAGGAGATTGTTAGGCGCTTTGAGACTCCTTAAAAAGGTAAAGGGACCCCTGACCATTAGGTCCAGTCGTGGACGACTCTGGGGTTGCGGTGCTCATCTCGCATTATTGGCCAAGGGAGCCGGTATACAGCTTCCGGGTCACGTGGCCAGCATGACTAAGCCACTTCTGGTGAACCAGAGCAGCACATGGAAATGCTGTTTACCTTCCCGCTGGAGCGGTACCTATTTATCTACTTGCACTTTGACGTGTAGGGATTCGAACCGCCGACCTTCTGATCGGCAAGTCCTAGGCTCTGTGCTTTAACCCATAGCGCCACCCATGTCCCACTTGAGACTCCTTAGGGTAGTGATAAAGCGGGATATCAAATCCAAACTCCTCCACCACCACCTGTATGTTGGTATTCAAGCCATAGCTTCCTTCAGAACAGATCTGTTGAAATGTATGGACGTGACTCTGATTTCAATAGGTCTGCTCTAAGCAGCGCCCTCCTGGATCACGCCCAAGGCCCACCTGGTCCACCATCACAGCGGTGAATCAGATGCCAGTGGGGAGCACACCAGCAGGACCTGAATGCGCCAGCGCTCTCCCCATTTACGATACCCAGGATGTCGTATTCAGAAGCATCCTTCCTCTGACACTGGAGACGGAATGTAGTCAACATGGCTGGTAGCCACGGATAGCCCTCTCCTTCATGAATTTGTCTAATTCTTTTAAAGTCAGCAAGGCTGTTGGAACCTCCCTGCCTCTTGCGGGAGCAAATGCCATTGTTTAACTATGCGCTATGTTTTACTCAGTGTATTACTTTGCTGTATAGCACCCAGTGCTGCCAGTTGTGGAAATCAAATGTGTGTATATGTATTTATCCTATTTATTTGCATACATATATATTCCTGCCTTTATGTTCCTGGGCAAACACCCATCCAGGCGTTGAGCCAGACCTGCTTCACTTCAGCAAGGTGGCGGTGGCCTCCTGCGCCTTCAGACGGTCTGCTTCAATTAATTGGCGCTCCTCTCTTTTCCTCTACAGGACAGAGACCCTGATGCTCACGTCTTGGCTGTGCGTAACCGATCAGCCTTTGAAATGCAACACCATCATTTGTTGCATTGCCTGGAGAAAACTACTGTGAGTAGCAGGAGAGGGTGCAAAGGAAGGAAAGGGGTTCGGACAACACAAATAGGAGAAGCTAGACTTAGTCACTGTGAGGAGCTTTTTGGACAGCCAGTGGAATCTGATTTCGATCCAGTATTGCCTAAATCTGATGCAAAGGAACCAGTGACCCTCCAAATGTTATTGGACTCCAACCCCCTCAACCTCTGCCTCCCCCGCAGTCCAGCATGCCTTAGTAATAATAATAATAATAATAATAATAATAATAATAATTTATTATTTATACCCTGCCCATCTGGCTGGGTTTCCCCAGCCACTCTGGGCGGCTTCCAACAAAACACTAAAATACAATAACCTATCAAACATTAAAAGCTTCCCTAAACAGGGCTGCCTTCAGATGTCTTCTAAAAGTTTGGTAGTTATTTTTCTCTTTGACATCTGGTGGGAGGGCGTTCCACAGGGCGGGTGCCACTACCGAGAAGGCCCTCTGCCGGGTTCCCTGTAGCTTTGCTTCTCACAGTGAGGGAACCGCCAGAAGGCCCTTGGCGCTGGACCTCAGTGTCCGGGCAGAACGATGGAGGTGGAGACGCTCCTTCAAGTATACTGGACCAAGGCTGTTTAGGGCTTTAAAGGTCAGCACCAACGCTTTGAATTGTGCTCGGAAACGTACTGGGAGCCAGTGTAGGTCTTTCAAGACCTACACTGGCTCCCAGTACGTGTTATATGGTGTTATATGGTCTCGGCAGCTGCTCCCTGTCACCAGTCTAGCTGCCACATTCTGGGTTATGGATGACAGGAGTTGTGGTTCAATCATGTCTGGAGGGCCACAAGTTCTCCATCTCTGTCAAGATTTTCTGGGGGTTGTTGTTTAAAAAATGATCATCCTGTTGAGTATTCTTTACAACTCCAACATTCTACACACGAATTCTGTACAGATTCAATAACCAGATTCTGCAATCCAAATAAGTTATATGAATGGCTGTTCTGCATCATCTTTTCTCCTCGGAAGAAGGATCACGTCTCAATCCTTGTTCACCGAACACCCTTCAGACAGTGAATTTCCCTACATGGCTTCAAGTGCATCTCTGAGGCCATAAGGCTGAGGAAATCGGCTGGTGCTCTTGGAACAATGAATTCTGCCTCTGACTTGAAGTTCCTTGTTTGCATAATACCACGTAGCAGACCCACAGAATAGGCACAGTCGCGATGGCGCCCTTATCTATGTCGTGGCGCAAGCAGGAACATACATGATGTGGGGCCCAGCTGTAAGAGTGAATGCCCGCACACCAACCCCCTGACATTGTTTCTCTCTCCCTTCCCCCCCACACAGAGTCACGAGTTTACGGATGAGCACACCTACAGCGAGTTTTGCCTGACGGAACCCCTGGGCTACCGCACCAGCCGAAGCACTTCCCTCTCCTCCCAGCAAGGCGGCAAAGGGGGCCTAAGCACCTCGTGCTGCCCCCGCCGGACCAAGCGCCGCACCACCCGCCTAACCAACTCCACCATGTCAGTGAGCCGCACCAGCGCTCAGGAGCTCGATACGCTAAACAGCCAGAAAAGTGCTGCCCCCCAGAGGTAAGGGTAATGTTTGCACGCCGTCACACCTCGCCATAGGAACAAGAGATCAGCTCTGAGGTCGTCAACACTTCGGCTTGTGCTGTGCCTAGATATCATGGGTTCGGATGGTTTCCCCCTTGCACCTCTCATTTCCCAGGGCAAACCCACTCTTTAGTGCTAAATTGGAGCAAATGTCTCTCTGGAGAAAACCCAAAATTGCCATTTGTTCCAATTGAGCACTAAAGAGCAGTTTTCCTAGGGTGTGTGGAGGAAGCAGCAGGACAATAATAAGTGTGAATAAGCTCTATGTTGCATCTGAGCAGTTCCTTTCCCATGTGCGAGGATGAGCTTTGGCTCTGTAGCTTAACTGCAGGGGGATATTTTATAGGAGATTAAGGAGTCCCATAAAAGGAGGCTGTGTATCTACTACAATCTGGTCTTTAGCAAAGGCAAGTTAAGGTATCTTAGAAATATTGCTGGATCAAGGAACATTGCCAGTTGGATAAATTTAAGACACTTATTTTTCTTTTTGCATATGGGTCCAGAAGGGTTTCCCCTGCCCCATCAAATGTCATGGTAGTACACAAACTTTTATGTTTTGCTGGTCAGGAACCAATTCCTCACTTCCTACATCAAACAGGCCACTGACCTCAGAGGAGGGAGCTGCATCAGTTCACGTGAAGAGTCCTCCTGGGCTTGAGGACTGGGAACAGGAGAATGTTAATGCATGAAAACAGAAAATAATAATAATAATAATAATAATAATAATTCATTCATTCATTCATACCCTGCCCATCTGGCTAGGTTTCACCAGCCACTCTGGGTGGCTTCCAACCAAATATTAAAAACAATACAGCATCAGACATTAAAAACTTCCCTAAACAGGGCCGCCTTTAGTTGTCTTTTAAAAGTAAAATAGTTGTTTATTGCCTTGACATCTGCGGGGGGGGGGGTGTTCCACAGGGCAGGCGCCACTACCGAGAAGACCCTCTGCCTGGTTCCCTGTAACCTCACTTCTCGCAGTGAGGGAACCGCCAGAAGGCCCTCGGCGCTGGACCTCATGGATGATGGGGGCGGAAAAGGAGAGACCACTGGTTCAGAGGGGGCAAAACTCTGACTCTGGTCCATCTGTCAAATGCTGGCTAATTTTTAGTGGGTCACCCTGCCTGATAGGTCAGCATACCCAGGGAATCTGGAAGAGGAAGAGATGAAGTTGCAATTCCTGTTTCCCCACGCAGCATGCCATGAGCTCTCACTGGCACCAACAGAGGGTGCCGTCGTGATGAGCCTGCATAGTTTGAAGCCACCAGTTCCCACAGTATATCCTCTGGCTGCGTCTAGGTCCAGGCTGCTGGTGGGGCTGGCAGAGACCAGGGAGCTGTCGATATAATGTCTGTTGGTCCATTAACTGCGAAGGAAGCAAGGCAACTGTCCTGCCATCCTCCTGCCACCCACAGCACCCAGTAGCCAGCCCCAGGAGGAATCCAGTAGGCGCCAGGGCAGAAAAAACAACATAAAACACTGAAATATACAGTGAACCCATAATAATACAGTGGTGCCTCGCAAGACGAAATTAATTCGTTCCGCGAGTTTTTTTGTCTAGCGAATTTTTTGTCTTGCGAAGCACGGTTTCCCATAGGAATGCATTGAAAATCAATTAATGCATTCCTATGGTCAAAAAAAGTCCAAACAAAGCCAAATTTGGTACAACAAGAGTTTATTAAGTGCTCTTTAAAGTCACACATACTGTAAAGAGCATTTCAAAATTCGAACCCAGAAATTTTTTAAAAAAACAGCAGAGTGGCCCAATGGTCACAGAAAATCATAAAAATGCAGAAAAAAACCACACAAGCTTCCAGATTCTTGCAAACCCCTCCCCAACTGTTCCCCCAGCCACCCACCACACAGAAATTCAAACCCAGAATTTTTTTCGTCTTGCAAAGCAAGCCCATAGGGAAATTCATCTTGCGCAGCTGCTCGAAAAACAGAAAACCCTTTTGTCTAGCGAGTTTTTTGTCTTGCGAGGCATTTGTCTTGCGGGGCACCACTATAACAAGAATATGAAGCAGCAGCTGAAAAGACATAGCAGACTAAGTGGCAATACAAAAATTCAAATATCTGTGTGTGTTTGTGACCTGTCCTGTGACTTCAGGTGGTCCTCATGCCCACGACTCACTGACTGGCTTTTGTGGCTTTCAGGGCAAAGATCTCAACCTTATAACTATTATTTCCTTTTGTGGGAAGCCTGCCTCATAATTCCCCTCCAGAGAGAGAGAGAGAGAGAGAGAGAGAGAGAGAGTGCTGGGCCTGCGCTGTTCTGGCATTCCCTGTCCCCTAAAAGCCCTGCCTTTGTGGCTTCCAACAGATTCCCGAGCCTTCGTTGCCTCAGCATTTGGGGCCCCTCTTAATTTCTTCTTTAAAACCCCATCATCTGTGTGATGGGACCCAGCAGGAAGTCCTAACTAATACTAGGCTGAAATTCTCTTTCCACCATCCTTCCCATTTTTGCAAGATTTTGTGCCCCCAAGAAAGCAATGGTAAGGGAGGTTCAAGTTTCTTTTACATTGGGGGGGGAGGGCAGTTGGCTTTCCTTAAACAGATGCTCAAAGGTTTGTTTCCCCCTGTTTTATAAGTTAAAAAAAAAGGCTGATTGCCAGCCCTAGCAGTGGCAAGGCACCCCACAGCCTACTGACTGCATTTCCTTAGGCAAATTGTTCCTGGGAATGCAGCTGCGAATGCGCATGAGGCCGAGGCTGCAGAGGCAAAGGGCCATAGCTCAGGATAAGAACATGCATTTTGCATTCCAAAGGTCCAAGGTTCAATCCCTGATATTTCCAGGCAGGGCTGGAAATGACTCCTGCCTCAACCCCAGAGAGCTGCAGTCAGTGTAGACCAGTGTTTCCCAACCTTGGGCCTCCAGCTGTTTTTGAACTACAATTCCCATCATCCCTGACCACTGGTCTTGCTAGCTAGGGATGATGGGAGTTGTAGTCCAAAAACAGCTGGAGGCCCAAGGTTGGGAAACACTGGTGTAGACAATACTGAACTAGATGGACCAATGGGGTGGCTCAGTTGAAGACAACATGGAATGTTCCTTTGTTCTAGACCTTTGCCATTGCCCTGTGCAGCAGCAAGGCTTCTTTTTAAGGTTAAAAATGGGGTAGAAACATATCCTGGGCCATTTCATCTGACGTAGCCTCTTATGAAATATCTGCTGTGTTTCTGGAGGGGAAGTTTCTTTTGTCACACTCCTTCCACAAATTGCTGGAAAACAATATATGCATGCAGTTCCGTAATTGCTTATCTAGCTAATAAGATCTTGCAGCATTTGTTTAACTGCAGAACTGAACTCGTGGCACTTACAGGGCGACCGCACTGAAATTATAACCAGCTCAACTGTGCAGTGAGAGTATTCCTAGGCTTTTTTCTTCTTCTTTTGACGGAAATTTTATGGCCAATTTACTAACAAAACCTGCAGCAGCTCTGCAGCAGCAGGACTGGTGATTTCAGAGTAAATGAAAATAACATACAGTGGCCCAGGAAAAGTCATCAGCAATACGTAATAGTAGTGCTGCAAGACTCAGGTGTGCGAGCAAAGGGATGTTATGTTACATAAGAAGTGTCTCATCTTTCATCTCTGAAATGTTGGTAAATATGACTTCCTCGTGCAATCTTTTCCTACCGTTGTTGGAGAACCATATTCTCTACTTGTAGGTTTTCTCCGCTAAATGGAGAAGTCCTGGAAGGACTATCCCGACAGATTCCCTAGTAAACTAGGAGGTTTTCCCCTCTTCCCCTTCAGCAGGGATGGGGAAGCCTGCAGCCCTCCAGATGGTATTGGACTCCCATCAGTGATTAGGGATGAAGGAAGTCCAGGAACAGAAGCGTGTAAAGAGGAGGGTGACCAAGATGATAAAGGGTTTTAGAAACCAAGCCTTATGAGGAACAGTTGAGGGAGTTGGGTATGTTTAGCTAGGAAAAGTGGAGACTGAGAGGAGGTAAAGGTACCCCTGATTGTTAGGTCCAGTTGCGGACGACTCTGGGGTTGTGGTGCTCATCTCGCTCTATAGGCCGAGGGAGCTGACGTTTGTCTGCAGACAGTTTTTCCGGGTCATGTGGCCAGCATGACTAAGCCGCTTCTGTCGAACCAGAGCAGTGCATGGAAACACCGTTCACCTTCCCGCCGGGAAGGTGGCACTTTGACGTGCTTTTGAACTGCTAGGTGGGCAAGAACTGGGACCGAACAACAGGAGCTCACCCTGTCGCTGGGATTTGAACTGCCGATCTTCTGATTGGCAAGCCCTAGGCTCAGTGGTTTAGACCAGTGTTCCCCAACCTTGGGCCTCCAGCTGTTTTTGGACTACAATTCCCATCATCCTTGACCACTGGTCTTGCTAGCGAGGGATGATGGGAGTTGTAGTCCAAAAACAGCTGGAGGCCCAAGGTTGGGGAACACTGGTTTAGACCATAGCGCCACCTGCGTCCCTGAGAGGAGATAGGCATCTTCAAATATCTGCAGGACTGTCACAAGGAAGTGGGAACATGCTTGTGGGTTTTTTTTGCTCTGGAGGCTAGGATCCGAACCAATGGATTCAAGTTACAAGAAAGGAGATTGACCAAATATCAGGAAGAACTTTTTGACAGCAACAGCTGCTCAACAATGGAACAGACTCCCCAAAGTGGCAGACTCTCCTTCCCTGGAAGTTTCCCCACAGAGGTTGAATGGCCACCTGACAGGGAGTCTTCAGCTGTGATTCCTGCATTTCAGGGAGTTCGACTAGATGATCCTTTAAGTTCCTTATAACCTTACAGTTCTATGATTCTATGAACCCTTATATATAGTTTGGGTGCTTGCAGCTGCACAGCCCAATTCTGGGCATGTTTACTGGGAAGTAAGCCCCACTGGGTATCCAGGACTGAAACCATTTAACAAGGGAACTTACCGTATTTTCGCTCTATAAGACGCACCAGACCACAAGACGCACCTAGTTTTTGGAGGAGGAAAACAAGAAAAAAATATATTCTGAATCTCAGAAGCCAGAACAGCAAGAGGGATCGCTGCGCAGTGAAAGCAGCAATCCCTCTTGCTGTTCTGGCTTCTGGGATAGCTGCGCAGTCTGCACTTACTCCATAAGACACACACACATTTCCCCTTACTTTTTAGGAGGGAAAAGTGAGTCTTATAGAGCAAAAAATACAGTATTTCTGAGTAGATGTATAGGATCACACTGCTAGCATCATGTATAGGGCGCTTCCAGATGACCCGTTTATTTGAGTATATCAAAGCAAGTACAGTGGTACCTCGGGTTACAAACGCTTCAGGTTACAGACTCCGCTAACCTGAAAGTAGTACCTTGGGTTAAGAACTTTACTTCAGGATGAGAACAGAAATCGCACGGTGGCAGCGTGGCGGCAGCAGGAGGCCCCTTTAGCTAAAGTGGTACCTCAGGTTAAGAACAGTTTCAGGTTAAGAACAGACCTCTGGAACGAATTAAGTTCTTAACCAGAGGTACCACTGTATTATCCTACACCAGGGGTCAGCAAAATTTTTCAGCAGAGGGCCGGTCCACTGTCCCTCAGACCTTGTGGGGGGCCGGACTATATTTTGAACAAAAATAATGAACGAATTCCTATGCCCCACAAATAACCCAGAGATGCATTTCAAATAAAAGGACACATTCTACTCATGTAAAAACACACTGATTCCCGGACCGTCTGTGGGCCAGATTGAGAAGGCGATTGGGCCGGATCCTGCCCATGGGCCTTAGGTTGCCTACCCATGCCCTACACTTTCCAGTGCATTCTTTCCTTTCTTCTTCCTTATCACAAAGCATCTGATCTCCTGGGAAAGCAGGCTTGTCGTGTAAGAGTCCCTATCAAGTAGAATGGTGCAACCTGAATTTGCTGATTATGTGATTGAATCCCACTCGAAAATAGCAGCAGTCTGGATGCACCCCACGTTCACTGCCTGAGTGCCACTCCATACATACGGTCTGCTGATAAGGTGGGCAGGACCTCATCACAACACTGCTTTCACCTCCTTGGGGAGTCCCACCTCCTGTTTCAAGGACCACAGATCTCAGGTTATAGCGGATTGCAATCTAAATGAGTCAGCAATGTGGTGCTATTGCATTGGAGTGGAGAGAAGGAAAGGCTTTTTAATTTTTGGGATTTTGGATTGACAAAAGCAGGATTGTGGTGATACGGGGCAGGGGCCACTGGCACCGCTATCGTGCAAGTTTAAATTTGTGCCCACACTTTCAAGAATGATTCAGAGGAAAAGTGAGACGGCGTAGGGTTTCGAATGAATGATGAATGAGGAACTGCCAAAGGAGCTGGACATGAATAGCTCAGGGAAAAGAAGATTAAAGGGAAACTCATGAAAGTGGCTTCAAATATCTAAGAGAGATGTCATGAAGAGGGAGAATGACTGACTGCTTATCAGCGCCCCGTCGGGAAAGGATAAGGACTGGCTGCAGCAAAGGCAGGAGTGGCTTGGATCTCTGAAAATGTTTCCTGGTTGCAAAAACCTATGGGTGACAGAGCAAGCTGCAGAACTGGGGTAGATTAAGTCTGAGGAGCTTTGTGATTTGCAGTGGACAACCTTTGACTGTTAAAAACCTCCTCTGAGTAACCAGCTGAGCTGCTGCTGATGGAAAGGAAGTGAGCAGTCAGTGGCTGATGGACAAACATCTCATGTGGAATCTGTGGAAGGACTCTGTGCATCGGCTGAAAGAGGAGGCCAAGGAGAGAGGGGTAGGAACCAGAGCAAGGCTGCACAGAGGACAGGGTGGCTGGGTGAAGGGGGACTGGCAAACTGGAAGAAAGATGGTTAGACGAGATAGAGTCAAGGAAAAGAGGGAGAGGATGAGAGTGGGGGAAACCACTTAGTATCTAGTAGCTGTGCAAGAGATGCAGGCAGGCAAAGGTAATGAGTCTGAGACCCAGGAAGCAATGGGGCTCTAGAGTTGGAAAGGGACCCTGGCGATCATCTAGTCCAACCCACTGCAATGCAGGAATCTTAACTAAAGCATCCATGATAGGTGACCAACCAGCCTCTGCTGAAAAACCTGCAAGGAAGGAGCACCCACTACCTTCCAAGGGAGTCTGTTCCAGTGTTGAAAAGGGGGGATTAAGCAGCTTTTCAGCTACAAGTCTCTAGTACTGTACTGCTGAGCCGAACTGTATTGCTTTATCTGTGGCATATTTTAGAGGGCCTTTTCCCGAAGTGTGGAATCTGCTGCCACCTGCTGGCGGAAGAGCTGCAGTGCCACACAAACAGTGGTCAGTGCCTGGCTTCATGAGTGGCCAAGTGGACAGAATCAACTTTGGTTGCTGCCTCCTATACTCCAGCCAGACACTGGTCATGTGAAGGAGCAAGTAGCGTCCCCCACCCTCCCTGCTTGGGCTCAAACCCACCTGCGAGCTGCATTCTTTGATCTTTGAAACTGTTTCCCCTAACCTCAGATGTGTGGCATCTGGCTATATCGGGGTGATCACTGATGATGGACCAGCACTCTGCACATGCTCATTTGGGTCTGAATAGAGACAAAGGCTTTCTTTTTTTCCAGCACAGTTATCTGCTAACTCAGCATTGCCAAACTGATCTCTTTTTATCACCCTTCGCTGCTGTTGTAATCCCTTGCATACTTTATAGCTGGAATCAAACTGTTGCTATCTGTTATTTCTTTACAGGTAGGTAGCCGTGTTGGTCTGCTGTAGTCAAAACAAAATTAAAAAAATTCCTTCCAGTAGCACCTTAGAGACCAACTAAGTTTGTTATTAGTATGAGCTTTTGTGTATCTGAAGCGGAGTGCATGCACACGAAAGCTCATACCAATAACAAACTTAGTTGGTCTCTAAGGTGCTACTTGGGACACGGGTGGCGCTGTGGGTAAAAGCCTCAGCGCCTAGGGCTTGCCGATCGAAAGGTCGGCGGTTCGAATCCCCGTGTTGGGGTGCGCTCCCGTTGTTCGGTCCCAGCGCCTGCCAACCTAGCAGTTCGAAAGCACCCCCGGGTGCAAGTAGATAAATAGGGACCGCTTACTAGCGGGAAGGTAAACGGCGTTTCCGTGTGCGGCTATGGCTCGCCAGAGCAGCGATGTCACGCTGGCCACGTGACCCGGAAGTGTCTCCGGACAGCGCTGGCCCCCGGCCTCTTAAGTGAGATGGGCGCACAACCCCAGAGTCGGACACGACTGGCCCGTACGGGCAGGGGTACCTTTACCTTTACCTTAAGGTGCTACTGGAAGGATTTTTTAAATATTTTTATTTCTTTGCATTTCATTCCCCTCTGGCTCTGCTGTTTGCAACTTTGATTGTTTGTTTGCTTATGTTTATTTAAATATTTTACTGTAAACTGCCCTGTGATCTTCAGATAAAGAGTGGTATATACATTTAATTAGTATTAGTCATCGTCATAATAGTAGTAGTAGTACTAATGGTTATAACCACACTCTAGGGCTGAACTTGGCTGGGGACTGCAGTTGCTGGCCCCTACTCTAAACCCTGTTCTCCAAGGCATCGTTTCCGAGAACAGTGATGGGTTATGAAACACGCTGGCCCAAGAACAGCTTGACTTTTGTAGTACACGTGCAAAATATGTATACGCAGATCAGCAAATATATGCTCAATGCACCGCTAAATGTATTTCGTGGAAATGGATGAAACTGCCCCGGTGGAAATGGTCATAGGAATGGATGGGACGATTCCTCTTAAAATAAAAGCAGTGCTGGGCTTCAGACCTCCCAGCAAAATTACATGTTCCCTCCAGATGCTGTAGGACTGCATTTCCTACCAGCCCTGGCTGGTAAGGTCAAAGGTCAGGACTGATGGGCGATGCAGACCAGCAACATTGCTCACTCCTGCTTCTGCAAATCATCCAAAGCTCTCTTAAGTTCACCACCTCCTGTTTTTTCCAGACTATATGCCAGAACGGAGCCTGGGGAAGGTGCAGGTGACTACAGACCCCCCCCCCAAGCCCCTTCCTAACCTTTCTTTCTCCCGTTTTCTCCCCTTCTTCCAGCCGCTCCAACCTGAACGCCAAGACCCACGACAACTTGAAGCTGAACTGTGACACCACAGACTTCACAGCAGCCATCATCTGCATCCCCACCCCTCCTGCCAACACGCCGGATGAGAGCCAGCCCCCGTCTCCCGGAGGCCCTGGCGGACCCCTGCGCAACTCCAGCCTGTCCACCCCCTACATACTGCACGAGACGGTCAAGATCTCCTCCTTGTAAGGGGAGACTGGGGCGGGGCGGGGTGCTTGTCCCGACTCCTTCCTCTGCCCAGAGTGGCTGCCGGCTGCCTGGGTCCTGCTTACGAGCAGGGGACGGGGTCCTCTGCCCCTGCCTCCCACCCCGCCCGTCGAACTGCAAGCTGGAGGAGGGCAGCAGGGGGCGTGTGTCGCACAGTCCCTTCCTCAGAGGCGAAATCGTTGGCCACCAACAGGGGGAGCTGGCGCACGGGGGGGGGGGGTTCTGATGCCCGCCCAGCTCCCCCTCTACAATCAAAGCCATATAGGAGGGGAGGTGGGTCCCCGATGCTATGCAACCGCAAAGGGGTGGAGCGATGCGGGGGGAACTGGGTTCCAACAGGTGGACCTCAGTGGTAATAGGGAACATATCCCAACAGCGGGAACATATCCGGAAGACTTTTTCCACACTATACCAAACCTATTACTCCTTAGGTTGGGATCAGGCTGAGTCAAAATCCCTGGTTTGACTCTGAGAGGGGTTAGGGGGCATTACAGCAGCAGGGAGAGGGAGCAGGGGCTTCTGGATCCTACCTTTGGCTGTGGAGGGCAGGGGTCTGAAGAGTGGGACTGCAAGATTGTTGGGTGAGGGAGGTCAAGAGTGGGGGGTTTCCACCTGCAGGTGGAAAGGCGAGCTCTGAGGATCGAGGCTCTTTGATTCTGGTCCTAAGCATGATCAGAATGGGGGGTGTATTTCCCAATGGTTAGAGCAAGGGATTCTGGAGTTTGTTCCAGTTAAAGATGAGGAAGCCTTTGAGGGAAAGGGATGGAAATAGAACCGGCTAAGCTTCCAACCAGTTCCCGCCCTCCACCCCCAATCTTCTGCCTCTCCTGGCTGAGCCATTTCTGGGACGGACGGAGCCTTAAAAGCCCCTGTCTCCCTGTCTGTCTCTCTGCCTTTTTTTCCTCTCTGCCCTCCTCCCGATACCTGTTCTGTAACTTGGAAACTGCACTTTAAAGAAAAAAGAAAAAAGTCTATTGCACCAAAACACGACACCTCATGGGAATCTCATGTATCATTCTCCCGGCACCCCACACAGCCCTGCACCCCACTGCGTAGCATCGAGACTGTGCATGTGTATTATACCTCCGAAGAGTGGGATCCAAAGCCCACGGCTACAGAGCACCACATGGCATGTGCAGCCGTGTCCCCCATTCCTACCCCACCCGCCTACCCTGACGGAAGATACGCTGTGAAGAACTGAAGCAGACCTGCAGAGCAGGGCTGTGGTCTGTGGTCCTCCTCCTCCTCCGGACATTTTTTAGGTTACGATCAAGCGAGAGAAAGAGAGACTTGGCTCTTGATCCTGGAAACCTCGCACCGTTCCATGTGCTCACCGGAGAAGGAACCGAACCTGGCAGAAAAGGAACTTGGGTGGGATGGCGGATACCGTTCTAGGTATCGAGCGAGCCACAAGTCCCGTCGCATGCATCAAGCTGGCTGGCTCTCGGCGTCCAGCAAAGGTTGCTCTCTCAACAGGATCAGCCATTTTTGTTTCAATCTGCTGGCCACTCTTTATTTTGCTCAGCGTCTTGGCTTTCTCTCTCCTGGCTACCGGTGGGGAGTCAGCATGGCCTTGGGTAGCCAGGAGTCACCCGTGGGTTAAGTTCAGAGAGGAATAAGGTCTGGTGGCTTATGACATAGGCCTTGTCGGGGGAAGCAGCAGCAAATGAATGAGGAAGACTGGAGCGTGAGGATGCCTGGGGGACGAAATTCCTCTGGTCGGTCTCCAGCTCTGGCAAAGTAGGGGGATCCAAGTGGATGTGTTGAAGTTAGCATCCTTCGATAGGACCATGTGAAACATGGAGCGTACTTGGGCTGTCTCTCGCCCCGGATCCCACATTCATTTTCTAACCAGAGTTTTCCTTGCAACAATTATTAAGTACCTGTAAATCAACATCTCCCCCTGTTGGATGGTTAAAGAAATAACAGTTAGTTATTTCAGGGCACTTTAATGCGGATCAATGAACTCAAATGCACTTTTGAACAGAATCATAGGGTCTGCTAGCGGGAGCGATGAATGAATGACACAAGAAGAGGTGGAAATGTCTCATAAGTGGATTTAAGGGCTGCCGCAAAGGCACAGAAGTGTAGAGAGGAAGTGAGAAGAATCAGAACAAGGTTCCTTGAGCTGAATCAAACATTCCAGTGTCTATTTCTCTACTGCAAAAAAGTTGGGGGGGATCCTTATACCCTAACAGAGGTTAAATTACTACTATGCACACTTAGCTGGGATCAAGATACACTGAACAAAGTGGAACTTATTTCCAAGCAAATTTGCATAGAATCAGGCTGGCTTCCAGTTACGTAACTGTGAATGAAATCTCTCCTCCAACTACTTTCCTTTTAAGCAAAGACACGAGGATGCATTTGTTCTGGCTGTTCGCCACTCTTTTACATCTGGAACCACATTGAATGTGTCCCAAAACACCGCAGGGGTCACTCTTGACCCCCCACAGTGTGAAATGAGATAATTATTGGATGATCAATCTGTAGTTTACAGTTCCTGTCCCCCCTGCTCAGACTGGGGTGCTTGAGAGAGACAACATGGACAGATTTGGAGCAGAGCATAACTATTTCATTTCTCTTGAACATAAATGCTGCTCCATTTTCCCTGCTAGGTATAGCACAGAGGACAATGTCCCAATGTTTAACTTCCTCAATACCAAACAAGAATACTCCAACCTCTTGAAACAGATAGCAATATTCCCAGGGTTTGACATATGCAAAGGGCAAACAGCTGTCTTCCATTTAGGGTAACCCAAGTCAAGAGCGGGGTGAGTGAGTGAGTGAGTGTGTGTGTGTTTCTTTGGAGCTGTTGTTCTTCCATCCCAGTCACATGCCTAAATTGCTCAGTGGAATAGATCCCCAGACTTTCTGGGTTCTAGCACAGGTACAAATGCTCTGTAGTTTTCACAGGCAGAAATCTAATAGGTGACATTTCAGCTGCACCACATATTTATGTGGGGAAAACTTTCACCTGGCGTTTCCTCCCTCACCCCCCCAAAAACCTGTTCAGGGTTCAGACCATCTTTCAGGGGGCAAGTGGCAACCCTAGGTTTGGGGGGGTGTCCATGCCCATGGCTAAGCTCCTCTAAGCGTAGGCCTCCTTATGGAGTCTTGAATCATTGCTAGATTCAATGCCCCCACCAAAAGAAGCTCCATTTGCCTTCTCTTGCTTCCAAGTTTCCCAGTGTAGGATGGGCAGCACTGTGCCATACCAACCATTGCCAATCTGGTGCCTTCCAGATGTTTTGGACTATGACTCCCACCAGCCCCAGCCAGTGGGAGCTGTAGTCAGGGGCTGATGAGAGTTGTTGTCCAAACATCTGGAGGTGTGAGATGTTGTTGGGAAAGGGAGTTCTACCACAAGGCAAGCTGCCCAAGGTATTCTGAGTGCCATTTAGGGGCAATGCAGTCTTTGTTGCAGCTGGCTAACTCCATGCCACTGTCATACTTGCTTGAGTATACTAACGTCTGAAGCGGGCCACACGTGGCACACTGCTGTGGCTTCTTTGGTGACTAGGAGCAGAATCACAAGATGCATTATCCACCCTGCCCACTTCCAAAAAGGATTCAAACATACACTGGCAAATTTGGGCTGCACAATGAGAGCTGAATGGGAGATCCTGCACAGCAAACCCACTTCCCCAAAAGACACTACATTTTGTGATAAATAAAGTGCCATCTAACCTCCCAGCAGACAAATCTGGATGGATGCTCATTAAACAGCTGTCTAATCTGGATGCTTGCTCAATTAACAGGTCTTCTGGGAGGAATGCTTGTTACAGAAGTAACTGCAATCTTCCACATATTCCCTGAGAAACAAGGTGTGTGTGTGTGTGTGTGTGTGTGTGTGTGTGTGTGTGTGTCTAGGATGTATTGTCAGCAGTCCCTGTTCACAGAGTAGCTGTAGGACTAACCCCTGTGGTTACAAGCCAATGGAGAGCCAGTGGTAGAGTACAGTGGTGCCTCGCAAGACGAAATTAATCCGTTCCGCGAGTCTCTTTGTCTTGCGGTTTTTTCGTCTTGCGAAGCACGGCTATTAGTGGCTTAGCGGCTTAGCCGCTATTAACGGCTTAGCAGCTTAGCGGCTATTAACGGCTTAGCGGCTTTAAGAAAAAGGAAACAAACTCGCAAGAACTCACAAGACATTTCGTCTTGCGAAGCAAGCCCATAGGGAAATTCGTCTTGCGGAACGACTCAAAAAACGGAAAACCCTTTCGTCTAGCGAGTTTTTTGTCTTGCGAGGCATTCGTCTTGCGGGGCACCACTGTATTTGCTTTGGGTGCAGAAGGTCCAATTCAATCCCCATGGCATCTGCAGCCAGGACTGGGAGAGACCCCGGCCTGCAGCCCTGGAAGGCTGCTGCCAGCCAGTGTAGACAGCAGAGGTGGATTTAAGGGAGAGCAACCAGTTCGGTCACACTGGGCATGGAGCCTTGCGGGGGCCACTGGAGATGCTGCAACTATAATCTGGGAGAGGAGCACAAGAGGCAGGGGGTTTGCTGAATTTTGGCATCACACAGGGTGCTGAAATTTGAGACCAAATCTGCTGCTGTAGACCGATGGGTCCCCAACTCTACCCTCTCTTTACCTCTCTCCCACAAACAGAGATACATAATTTTGTTGTACTCACTTATTTATACTTGGGGAAATGCCGTTTGTTCCTTTCCAGACTCAAGAAGCCAATTCACACAAGCAGATTGCCAAAGTTTGCCGGGCCAGTGGGTCAACTCAAGAATTCATTAAGGGGTGAACCACTTTTGCGAATGGCTCAAAGACATGTACACAAAGTATACTTCCCCTGTTTTTTGGCTTGTAAACCCCTACTCACCTGTGGCAAGCCAGAACCTTCTCCCAAGTGACCAGGCAGGAAAGCCCCCCTTTTGGGCCCACGTTTTGCCAACACAGATAGGTAGCCATGTTGGTCTGCCATAGTCAAAACAAAAAAAATTCCTTCCAGTAGCACCTTAAAGACCAACTAAGTTAGTTCTTGGTATGAGCTTTCGTGTGCATGCACACTTCTTCAGATACACATCTGAAGTGGGTGGTGTATCTGAAGAAGTGTGCATGCACACGAAAGCTCATAGCAAGAACTAAGAACTAGGTGGTCTTTAAGGTGCTACTGGAAGGAATTTTTTTTTGTTTTGCCAACAGTTAACCATAACTAATATTTGTGGACTTGACCAAAGCTGATTCCCCACTGAGTCCACTGCCTTCTTTCAACAGTTTTGCTGTGGCAAAGGAAAGATGACATGACTTATGAGCTGGGCATAAGGCTAAATAAACAAATTATTTACAATTGCAACAGCTGCATCACTATTGGCTCTGCACACTCTGTAGACTTTCTCGACATGCCAACTTGTTCACTAACACAGGCCCAGCAAAATAGTGTTTCTTCATTTCAAAGCCTCAACTTTTTTTTTTTAACCCCTCATGAAGGGGAGAGGGTGGTGGAGGAACTCCAAGCATAGACTCCACTTTTACCCCTCCTGCAGTTAGAGACTTGAACATAAGAGCAATCCTTCACCTCCTCTACCTTCTTGCAGAAAGGAGTGGGAGAGATCCAGATTTTCCCATCAAAAAGGCAGTTCCTGCAAGCCACTTAAACAAAATGGGAAGGATGCCATTTCCCTCCGTTCTGATCTTAAGGGTGCTGCTTGAGAGAAATGGAAGGAGCTGATTAGAACCCATCACTGGCTGTTGTTCGAGATTTGATGGCCATACTAGGAACTGCTTTCCTTCAGCTGGTGCTGCACTGAGCAACTCCATATGGTCATGTACAAGAGAGCAAAGAATATAGCCCCTCCAGTGGAGGCCCTCGAGGGTTGTGTCTGTATGAGAATTCTAGCATGCCTGGTAATACTGCAGCAGAATCAAGTGGTAAAGCTTTATCCCAGCTGTATAACTTCATGCTGCACAGTGGGTGGTGTCTGAAGGCTCCTCCATGAAAAAAAGGCCTCCCTGTATCTAAAGAAGTAAAATGTCTAGGGAGGGAGAAGACTAGACAGAACCCTTTGATGCAGAATCAGAAAAAGCTCATGCTATTCTAGGCTGCATCAACAGAAGTATAGTGTCTAGATCAAGGGAAGTAATAGTACCATTCTAGTCTGCCTTGGGCAGACCCACACCTGGAGTACCTCTGTGTCCAGTTCTGGGCACCACAATTTATGAAGGATGTTGACAAGCTGGAACATGTACAGAGGAAGGCAAGCAAGATGATCAAGTGTCTGGAAACCAAGCCTTATGAGGAACCGTTGAGGGAGTTGGTATGTTTAGCCTGGAAAAGAGGACACTGAGAGGAGATGTGATAGCCATTTTCAAATACTGTCACATGGAAGATGGAGCAAATTTGTTTTCCTCTGCTCCAGAGGGTAGAACCAGGCCATTGTCTTCAAGTTAAAAGAAAGGAGATTCCAACTAAACATCAGGAAGAACTTTCTGATGGTACAAGCTGTTTGACAGTGGAATGGATTCCCTTGGAAGGCAGTGAACTCTCCTTCACTGGAGGTTTTCCACTAGAGGGTGGGTGGCCATCTCTCATAGATGCTTTAGTTGAGATTCCTGCATTGTAGGGGTTTCGGTGACCCTCAGGGGTCCTTCCAACTCTACCATTCTTTGACCCTGACATGCTAATTTTCTGCATGAAGCCAGATTTTGTTGTTATAAGGAAGCCTTCAAATATGCAAACCAAACAAAGTCACCTGCAATGTAAAGTGCTGCAGTCCAAGAAACGCTTTACCACTCAGTTCTGTTAGTGGTAGAAATTAGGCTGAACTTGATCCCTTGCCATGGACAGAGTTGTCAGGGCTGGAAATGAAGACTTCTAGTTCCCATGCTATCTGTAAATGTGCTGTGTGTGACCTTGGTCAAGTCACTTCAACTCAGGTTCCTGTTTGTGTACAAATAGGGAGAATAAAACTGACCTGAAGAGATATTTATCTTAAAAATGTGTGAATGCAGGTGGAGAAAGTCTAGGGTGTTTGGGGGTCTTGGAGGGTTCATCACTGAGGTGCAATGAGGGAGAAGGTGCTGGAGACAAGAGATGCTTGAAGAAGGTGGATGCTACTGTAGTTTTGTGCCAATAAAGAAAATTGGATGAGAGCTCAAACAAAAGTCATGTGCTCTATTCTTATTCTAAGATTTGGAGGCGTATGAGGATTTGGAGATGGATGTAACAATTTTGGGGGCCTGGGCCTACCAGTTCCATGTTTATTAAAAATCATTTTCATGTTATTATAAGAAATATTACATGAATATTTTTCTAACCAAGTTGGAGGGGGGAACTAGTGGACCATAATTCTTATTTATTAAAACTATGAAGGCATGGCTTAGATGGGGCCCAAGATAATTAATAAATCATCTGTATTGGGGATTACACCGATATGAAGAAAAGTATCTGTGTAAAATTTGTAGACTGATATTAATGAGTGTAGAATTTGGGAACATTATCATTTGATTTTGATTTTTTTAAAAGAAAAAAACCAGGAACTTAAAAAAGTAAAAATTACACACACACACACACACACAGTGTAACAGATATTTAAATATGCTGAAAAGGAGCACTCGAAGAAGAATGATGGTTATGAATTCCAAGTATCAATATCTCAGTGTTCAAGAAGTGAGCTCTGAGTCCTATCACAAATTAGTCTGTTGTTTTCTGTAAACCAGTTTGACATGGAATCTTAGAAATATAATTAAATTAAACCCAATTAAATAAGTATGTCAAGGCCGCCTGCCACATCACGCCAACGAATTTGCAACAGGGGTATCCAGAGCTAGAATGGAGGGCTAAAATAAAAGTATGGAAAAGTTATTATTGTTTTCAGTAAACGACACAAAACGTCCGTAGGTTTGCACCCAATAAAAGTCTCCCAGCCCTTTAGTTATCAATGAAAGAGTGTGTGTGAGAGAGAGTGTGACACAGATACACACACACACCTAGCGCCTTGCTAGATCAGAAGGTCAAACCTCCAACTACTATTGCAAAAAACGTCTGGCCAGATGCCTTCCAGAAGCACACAAGAAGGGCACAAAGCAAATACTGTCGCCCTCCCCTACCACTGTCCCCTCTGCAGCTGTTGTACAGAGACACTGCTTCTTAAATGTGGGTGTTCCATTTTGCTGTCATGAGCTGTAGCCCTTTTCTCCAAGAATTTGTCAATCTCCCTTTAATGCCGCTGGCCACAAGCAACATCACAAATGGTGCTACCTGGGCTATAATATGCTTGTTTATTGCGTTTTCTAGTCCTATGCATGAGGTCAGAAAACGTTGCAGAAGATTCCCCCCAAGCCCACGGGTATATTATTAATTCCTGTTCCCAAAGGGGTCGCAGCCTCAATAAGTAAGGCTTTTTAGAGCCTAAAGAGGCCAGATGTATTAACAATTGTATTGCAGTATTAATAATTTATATAGAAAAATCTAATCGCTATAATAAATAAGTCTTTTCTGGAGCACGCAGATCCCTGCCTAACTGTATGGGATAAGGCACATTAGGAACCAATCAACCAATCAGCTTTATAAGATTCTATATGCCAACCAGCTGTAGGAACTCGCGTCCAATCTATCAATATCCGACCCTGGGAATGCTCCAAGCCAATAGGAGGTAACCGGCCACTTTCAGCCAATCACGGTTCAGGTCTGTGTCCGCCGGCGAATGAAGAAACGGCAACTACTTTCTGTAGCCTATCGGAACAAGCTATGCTGACAAGGGGAACAATACTCCCGCCTCCCTCCTTCGCTCTCGCAAAAAGGGACGGGGAGGAGGGAAAGTGGAAAGAGGCGGGACATCTCCCCGACCGGCAGCGGCGCCAGCCACTCAGTGACGGACATCCGTCACTCCCGGCCAACGAGCGCGCGGCTAGCCGCTGTTGCTACGGCCTGCCCAGGGCCCGCCTCACCTGTTGCCAGGGGGCGTGGAAACGGAAGTCGAGCTCGCCGGGGTCAGAGGCCGGCTGTGTTGATGTTGACACTAGGCCGGGCCCGCAGACGGGCCGTAGTAGTAGTAGTAGCCGCCGCCGCCGCCGCCGCCGCCTCTTTCCGGAGACCGCGAAAGGCCCGAAAGCCTCTGAGAAGAGAGCGGGGACGAGGCCGACCCGGCTGGTGTGGACTGCTCGGGAGAAGCTCCGGCGCCTGGCGGGGAATTGACGGGCGCGCTCCCTACTGAGCGGCGGCGGCGGCGGGGGGAAGCGATGCGCCGCGGTTGATCTGGCCATCCGGGCATTTGCCTTCCCCGCTTCCCTCAGAGAGAGCCCCCCGCTTCCCGCTCCCGGCTGCCCTCCCTCCCCCTCCCCCGCGGAGCCCTCTTCATCCGGGTAACCCTGTTTCTGCGCCCTCCTCATCCGGGTAACCTGCGGGGCCCCCTTGGCCCTCGCCGTCCCCGGTGCGCGGCCCTCCGCCTCCCCTCAGGCGCTCCTCTCTCCCGGGCGCCTCTTCCTCCTCCCCGACCCGACCCTTGACCCACCTTCGCCCTGTCCGAGCGCCCGCCCCCTCGTCGTCGGGGCAACTGTCACCCCTCGCCCCCTTGAACCTTAATCCCCGCCGGTCTCCGGGCCCTCCCCGCCCTCGCCATGACTATCCTGCCCAAGAAGAAGGCCTGCCCGGCAGCGGGGGACGGCGATAGGGACCAGCCTGGCTCCCGAGGGGGCGGCCCGGGGGGTCCCGGGGGCCCCGGCGGCGTGGGAGGCCCGGACCCGCGAGGCTGCTCGGGCTCCGACTCGCACCCGCGAGGCCCCGGCGGAGGCGTCGGGGGAGGCGTGGGCCCCGGAGACCCGCACTCGGGGCGCGGCGGCGCCCGCCCCCGGGCCTCGCCGCCGCCTCCGCCGCCCCGCTGGGGGCTGCCCCCCGCCGGCTCCCCGCCGCCGCCCAACCCCGGAGTCGGAGCCGGCGGCGACGGGCCCGGCCTCGGGCTGCTGGACCCCGGAGTGGCCGAGGCGCGGGGCGGGGTCGGGGGCGGCTGCTGCTCCGGCCCCGGGCACAGCAAGAGGCGGCGGCGCGGAGGGTCCGGCGGCGGGCTGGGAGCCGCGGGGCCCGGGGGAGCGGGAGGCAACAGCCCCGAGCAGGATGAGGCCGGCGCCGGCTACAACAGTGAGGACGAGTACGAGACAGCGGCGGCCCGCATCGAGAGCATGGACCCGGCCACCGTGGAGCAGGTACTTCGTGGGGGTGGGGAGCGGACGGCGGGGTCCTTAACCCTCTCGGAGGCCTATGGAGCCCACGCGCCTTTTGGGGGGGTGCTTGCTGCTTGGCACCTTCGTTTCATGCTGGGCTGCACGCTTCCCTATTGCCCTACAGCCGGAGATGTCCGGCCATCGGGAGTGCATGGTTTAATTGTTTAATTTACCTCGCGTGATGCACGCGTTTTGCGCCCTCCCGCTGAAATAGGTCTTAGCTATATAATGGGTACACATCAAAGCGTAGTATGTCAACTAGCCATGCTGCTCCCAGGGTGCTTCGCAGTTGAGGGTTCCTGCAGGATCACTTGAGCTGGATTTGTTTGAAGTTATCCCTAGGAGCAGGTGAAAGCAGAATCTGAAAGGCTCTAATTGAAAAGAGGGGAGCTGTCTCTCTAGTAATGTTTGGTTTCTGGTATCTTTTGTAAAAAAGAAGTGTGCAGATTCACTGTGTTGGCAGGAATGTGACTTACACGGCATATTAAATTGTGAGGCCTCCCTCAGAAGAAAGCAGGATCCCTTTTATGTGGCGTTATTGGTGCCTAGCTGTTTAATAGAGAAAAGATTGCCCTTTAGTTGAAAGAGGGGGGAGGCTTGCTCTGGCAATTGTAACTATTACTGAAGGGTGGGACAATGTCATGGAGCCAGGTGAGACAAATAAAGGGAATGTGTGTGAGGGGAAACATTTTGCTTATCTGTGCCGATTGATGCAGAAGGGTTTCAACATCATTTGAAAAGAAAATAACATAGCACATCAGCCCCGCATAGAATGTGAAGTTACCTTAGGGGACAAGAGAGAGATGGGGATCTCTCTCTGAGGAAAGGTTACAGGAAATCTTTCAGTTCAATGCTGTGAGTTAAAACAGGAACCCTTGTTTTATAGTTGTAGGTAGAAACACTGGAATGAATACTGGGTCTGGATATGGTATGGAATACAAAAGGGAACCAAAGAATTATTCTCTGTTGGGTTACATTGCCTTTTAGCTTGTAGTTGTAACACCTGAGGTCATCTTTGAGAAGGAAGGATTGATGGGGCCTTTGTGTGTACAGAAATGGCATCTTCCACCCTGTGACTCCAGACAACCTTTTGATACTAAAAATGGAAGTATTACATTCAGAAAGGGGTGGGATCTTTGCTCGAGAGAAACTTGTTCCTGTAAAGAAATTGGATTTGCTTAGCTCGAAAGGGATAGAGTAGGTGTGGAGAGGGTCCAATTTAGAAGACAACAAAAGTAATGGCATGCGGGGTTGATGGGTCTCTATGCTTGATTGCAGTTAAGTTGTTTGTAAAGACATTTGGGAGATGAATAACTATGGGGAGAAGAGTCTGTTTTGAGAACTTGCAGACTGAGGAAACATGTGTGCTGGAAGAAATAAGGTTTTCTGCAAGAGTGGCATGCAGATACATGAAATTGACTTGTATTAAGTCAGCCCATCCAGCCCAGTATTGTTTCCTTGGACTGGCAGTGGTTCTCTAGGGTCTTGAGCACAGGACTGACTTCTGGACTTCCTACCAGAGAACCTTTATTTGGAAAGTTGGAGGCTGGATTTGGTGCATGATCACTGAGGTTTGAGCCCCCACCCCACCCCCATGTAGGTCTGTGGCTATTCCATGCAGGTAGGTTCCTAGATCACTCCTAGTTTGGTCTCACTGTTAAGTATGGCTTAGGTCATTGTTGTCTGCAGCAAACTGTCGTTTGTTTATGGCTAATATTGGGTGTTCTGATCCTGTTGGTAGCCGTATCCTGTTAAACTATTATAGGAAAGAGAACCTCTTGGTCTACTCAGAAGCAGATCATCCTTTATATTAAGCTACTGCTGTATCCCACAAGGTCAAGATCCCAAGCTTGCAGGGAGGGAGGGAAGAAGGAAAATATTTCAGATGACTTTCCCTGGGGAAAAAAGGGAATTATCTCTCAGGCCTCCTGCAGAAAAATGCTTTTGTAAGCTAGCTTGAGATAGTTACTATTGGGGTGGCTAACCTTCCAGATGCTGCTGAACTACAGCTCCCATCTTTCCTGACCTCTGGCCTCGCTGATGGGATTTGGAATCCAACATCAGGAGGGCCACAGCGCCCCCCCCCATTCTTTAGCAAACCTGTTCAAGCTTTCTTGTCTTCAGAAAACACTTTCTACATCTATATATTGGCCACAAAAACCCTGTGTGCTGCAGAGGGTTCTGGGACATATGCTAGATTGACTTTTCAGTGTCTTCTAAACATTTTGACCTGGCAGTCCAGTCTAGAAGCGGACGTTGAGTCTGCAATTAACGTGGCAAATGATCGTAGGCAGACTTGGAATAGCTAGCACCACCATCCTGGTTTTGAGGCGGGGGGGGGTGTGATGTAAAATCCAGATGTCAAATGGTTGAAACAGAATTCTTGATGGCTTGGAATTTAGCTTAAGATTCTGCCAGATGCAGCAATAAAGTGAGTGAAAAACCATTTCCCACTGCTATAGAGGAAAAAGGAATGCAGCTGTTTTAAATTGCAGCATGATGGATTTGGCCTGAATACTGGGCAGTGGGGAAAATCTTATATTTAAGAATAGGGCAGCTAAGCAAATTGCTTCGGAAAGCTACAGCATTTTCGTGTTCTGAAAAAGAAGCCAGATTATGTTTTCTGTTTTATTTGTAATTGTTTATGTTGCCATACCCAAATGCTCAGAACAAGTAAATTATAAGAAAAATGTCAAATCGAAAGCTATTACAAATATTTACAGAAAATCTATGTATATGATTCAGTTAAATGATGACAAGGGCCAGCTTGGCACCTCACACCAGCTGCTTTATGTTGACAACCCCAACCTAGTTATCATATTTCCTTATGATGCATGCCCATGACTGGGATGTCAGCAACAACTGTGAGTAGTGTAGAAATGTGCAGTGTTGGGTGGGGGAGGGGCAAAATGGTTTCAGGGCAGACCTATCAAATGGCAAATCAAAGGTGGAATCACATTGGGGGGGTGTCTCTTGATGACCTCACGGTGTGCACTGCCTCATTTGAAGTGTTGTGTCTGTGGCTACTTCAGTGGGTTAGAAAGCTAAGTTTTGTGACAATTGGTCTGTGGTGCTAGATCCACACATCAAATGATAAATGGGCATATGTGAGTAATTCACCCTTGCTCTGGAAAACACTTTCTTTCTAACTCTCCAGGGAAGGGAGTGCTATGCTACAGAACAGCTGCTGTGAGTGCTTTTGGCAGTGCTTTCGCTGTATTGATTAGGTATTGCTCCTAACACTTCCCCCAGTGGGTCGGCCAGCAGTTGTGATGGGACACACGAGAGGAGATAATCTCAGAGGGAGGCCTGCATCACACATAGTTCTTGAGGCCCCATACTGCAATTAGTTCCTTGATACACTGTTTTTGCAACCTGCCCAAGCTCAGCAGACAGCATCTTCCAGTCCCTCCTCCAACCTTGGGAATTGCAGTTGTCCTATCAGCTACCCCTCAAGTCTGTGGCTGCTGTTGCTGAATACCAAGCTGGCTCTGAATAAGACCTCTCATGATCTGCTTATGGGTGAGAAGGCCGATCTGCTCTGTATCACTTGAGACCTGGGTGGGTGAGTTGGTCTCACCCAGCTGTGCCCACCTGGATACTCTGTGCAGTATCAGGGCAGACTTAAGGGTCAGGGAGTTGCTGTAGAAATTCATTCTCTCTGTTTCTGTCCATTTGGGGGAGGGATCTAGAGTGTGTGTTCCCGGCATTGAGCAGTTGTGACAGATGAGGGATTCTGCTAGTTTACTGCCTGCCTTGCTGCCCTCCAGTTTCCCTGACAGAGCTAGTGGCAGTGTTAAGAACTCCCAGACTGTTGGTTCTGGGGGACATCAACATCCATGCCAAGGCAACTGGCTCTGGGGTGGCTTAGGACTTCATGGCTGCCATGAGAACCATGGGGCTGTCTAAAAATGCCATCGGCCCAACGTATGTGGCAGGCCACACTCTGGGCCTTGTTTTCTCAACTAGGAAGGAAGATGGTGATCTGAAAGTAGGAGATATTGACATCAGTCCCTTGTCATGGTCAAATCACTTCCTGTTGAGATTTAGGCTTTCAGCATCTTTTCTGCTCTACAGAGGTGTGGTACTTTCTAGGATGCTTTGCTGTTAAAGATTGATGGATCCAATGGGTTTCCGAACAGCTCTGGGAGATTTTCCAGCTGATATGACTGGTGGTCCTGTTGAAGTCCTGGCTGACCTCTGGAACAGCCAAATGGTTAGGCCATTGAGAAAATCGCCTCTGAGTGCCTTCTCCTGCTTTGTGGAGCTTATTTGGCTTCCTGGTATACTCTAGCTTAGGGCAAGGAAACAAGCTCAGAGACTGCTCAAATATGAATGGAGGAAATGAATGCAGTCCAACACTGTTGAGGGCTCACCATCAAGCCTACTTAGTAGCACTGAAGGCAACAATGAAGGCATACGTCTGAATCCATTGCTGTTGCTTGAGTCTCAGGTGGCCTCAGTGGTGCGTAGTGTCTTCTATCAGCTTCGGTTGATGACCCAGCTGTGCCCCTATCTGGACAGGAGTAGCCTAACTTCTGTTGTCTATGCTCCGGTAACCTCTAGGTTAAATTACTGCAATGTGTTATATGTGTGGCTGCAGCCAAATGGCTCACCGGGGCAAGGTCTGATCCTGGCCTGACTAATTGACTTCCAATTAGTTTCTGGGCCCAATTCAAAGTGTTGGTTTTAACAAGGCATAGGCAAACTCCGGCCCTCCAGATGTTTTGAGACTACAATTCCCATAATCCCTGACCACTAGTTCAGTTAGCTAGGGACGATGGGAATTGTAGTTCCAAAACATCTGGAGGGCCGGAGTTTGCCTATGCTTGGTTTTGACCTATAGAGCCTTAAACGTCTCAGGACACTTAATTGCTGCAGTATTCAGTCAGATTCCATCTTAACACGGTGCACCACTTTGTAGAAAGAAGTGTTTGCCTTCACCTAGTTGTCCCAACTATCTTGCTCTTGCATGTCCACCA